AGTGTCTGTTCTCTCAAGTGTATCATGCTGCCATCCTTTTTCTTCACAGACCGGTTAATTTATATTTCAAAACCTGAATGAATATAGAAATACACCTTCCAGTCAATACGGTAATTCCTATTACTTATTTTTTAAATTGAAATCTTGATGAAAAATTCAGGCTTGAGCATATAATCAGCATTCCTGGACAAGGAAAGGTGCTTTACTGAAAATGCTTTAGTAATAAGTCAGGAGCTGATATACAGTTTCATTTGAGAAAACTGAAAAGAATGGGCAATTGAAACTAACCAGCAGGATCATTTCTCTCTTCTGAAGGTTCAGAAGTCATGCTAATTTTGACTTATGTTTTCAAACAAATATCCACCCCTTCCAACTCTCTATCTCAATTCTTTAACAGAAAAAAAAAAAATCTGGAACTTATTCATGTGACAAGGTCTGGCTTTCCCAGACAGTTCCACAAACAGCCTCAGTTCACAAAAAATGAGCTCATTCTGTTGTTTTAAGAAGCTACTTCAAGAAGCTACTTTTGCTTATAAAGGGCTAAAAGCAGTGTATACTAATTTCCCTGGTCTTAAAAGAACAATCACTTTTCACCTTATAAATGTCTTCACCTCCTCTTTGTCTTACAGGTATACAATAAAATCTACACAAGAATTCCAGTGGAAAAAATATCATTCTTCCTTTTTTATTATGTTTAAAAACATATATTGTAAATTAAAAAAATAGATAATATATGTTGACAGTAAATATAAAATCACATTTTCTATACGAAGAATAGTCTTCACCTTGTTGGAAGACTACATCCCAATGATCTATAGTTATTTATTGACAGCAGAAGAATTATAAAGTAGCAATGGTTATCACCTTCACTGAACTAATATTTTCTTCAAATACCTCCAGAGATTTTAATAGACTCATTGCTCTCTCAGAATAAAGTATATTGGGGTTATTGCTGGTTAAGAAGTTAAAGGCGAGCAAAGGAAACCAGGTGCAAAATGCCATTAGCTTCCTATAGAAGAAGAAAATACAAACTACTTAGTCTCCGTTGTATTGTCGTTTCACAAGCACTTTTCACAACTGCAACAGAAACAGGACAAAATAGCAAAACTTGGTATCCCTACTTGGTTCAATTGTCCTGACACAGACTGTTGGCTGACAAAGAACCAGATTCATGGGGTTTAGTGGGGAACATGATATTACACAGTGATTACGATATTACAATTATGATACTACTACAGAGTGAGCCCAAAACAGGAAATAGAGACACAGCTCTAGAAGAGCAGTTTGGTAATTACTTTTGCTTAGCAATTACTTTTCATACAACTTGGGTTTCAAAAGAATAATTTGTGCAGGCCAGATGTTTTCAGAGAGATGACTTAGAAGAGATGTTTGTCCAGCCCTCCCAAATTTTCTGGCCTTGATAAGGTGAAGACTGATGCCTTCCATGTAGGTCCCTGGTGATTGCCTGAAGAATACCCTTACTCAGCGTTCAACCTGCAGCTTGTTCCTGGCATCCCTTCTGCTGCTTTGCCTGCCTCTGTAGGCTAGCTGTCAACTATGCACTTATATTATATAAGGGTAATAAGAATAAGGAAACTTTCACTTCCCTCTCTATCGTTCTGCTTTCCAACGAGCACTTTGAAATTGAAACCTAGGGAACTGAAACCCTCAGCTCAGGACTGGAACTTATAGCGGGAAAAATTTGTCTTTTCTCTCCTGTTTTGACAGCTATTAGTTTAGAAATACGTCACTACGCTGTGCCATTAAAGAGTATGGAGCTGAGATGCATCTTCACTGTAATAACAGGAACGGTTTCTAATTTAACTGAAAAGAAACAGCATTTCTCATGCTGTCAAGTGACAGCAGGACTTTCCTTATTGCTGTCCCCTAGGAAGCATGCCTGCTCCAGCCACAGCACAGGTTAGACTTTCTCCCGTTTGCACCAGCAGGCAAAGTGGCAAGGCAGTTGTCTGTTTAAAGAGCTTAGCCTTTTGGATCTTAGTTGGGTGGTAATTTTTTTTTTTCTACTTACATATACAAAGGGAAAAGGAATAAGCCTCTCTTCCCCAGGCTGTACTTTGGAGAAAAATTGGGAAACCCTAGAAATATAAGGTCACTTAAGGCTAGGAGCAGAAGCTGGTATTTTTCCTTGTCTCCTCCCAAGGAGCTGCTAATCTCATCCTGCTTTGCAGAAGACCGGGAAGGTATGTGCACAGCCTCCTGGGAAAGTTGTTCTCTCCTGCCAGGGTGGGAGGAAAGGAGAAAAGGTCAAGAACAGAGTGTGTTTACCAGAGCCATGTGCTCCTAAGCTTTGTGGTGCTGCTGAGTGCAGCTGCTTCAACTCTCGGCTGGCATTTTGTGTTTTGTGGTTTTGAATACTGGAGCAATAAATAAAATATGTTTTTAATGCCTATGTTTTATAGCGAGTGTGGGCTGCTAAAGTAAACAGAATATTGCACGATTGCACATTTCATTCATATGAGCAGAAGCTCATAGCAAGGGAAGGGGGAGTGCAATTAGCAACCAAAGACTAGCAAACAGCACAACTACACAAATACAAATTCCCTTTTAAAGACGTATAGTTGGAGAACCGGTTGCATATTTCAAGCTCAGGATAACAGTGACTCACTAAGACAATATTTTCTCTATCTATGAGGTCAAATTCAACTCTTGTTCAGGCAGAGAAACATCCTTGTGCTGTTTCATCTCAATTAAAGGATCTGGCCTTGAGATTGACAGGCACCCAGCCTCTGCTCTATAAACACTTTCCTTCATGACTCCCTTACTACAGTCCGTTTTTTCAGTCTGAAATCTCCTTCAGACATGGCTTGGGGCAGCTTGTTCAGCTGAGTGGGTAGAACCATATGCCAGGAAGGGGTAGGTCCTGGCACCATTTCTTCACTTTGAATAGTAATTGGGTCTTACATTTTCCTGTTATTATTAGGAGACTACTTGTTCCCACACCCACCAAGAGGGCATGCAGTAAATATCATAGTGGTAATAAAGGTGCAAAAAAATTATTGGAGCAAAGACATGTCTTCAGGAGTAAGGTGAGTTGCTAGACTGTTGCAGCATGAGGAAAAGAGTGGCTTGAGAGTTTTAAGTAAAGATAGAATGGCCTGCCTCGATGGAAGAGTTGCTGACAAGAGAATACATGAAGCAGAAATATATTTGAGCAGGTCCTGTAAAGACATTTGCTTGTAGGAACCTCCCAAAAAGATATTTCCTTGCAGTTCATGCAGGTTGTGACTCTGGATCTGGATATGAGCAGGATCTATGGGGAGAGAAGAAGCATTCTGGAGAAAATTCACAAAAAATGTTTCCCCAACAATAGGCAGTTTTCCTTGTAAATATTTCTTAAAGTTTTTTTTTTGTTTATTATTTAATATTACAAATATTTAAAGTATTTAACAAAAAAGTTAAAATATACTTAAAAGTAAACAAGCATTAACTTTTTCCTTATCCAGCAGCACAACAGAGAAGAACAGACATTTTTCTCCCTGCTTTTTAGCAGGGAGGAAGTGCTGTGCTCTGTACAAAAGTGTAAGATACCAAGAGAATGTCACTTTAAAAAGAACATCGGTGAAAATACAACGTTGTACAGGGCAAGATACAAAATAGGTGCTAATACCTGAAACAGGGACCCCAAATAACTTGACTCCTCTTTCTCCATCTTTTCTTGATCAGCAAATACGGTGATCTTTGCCTTTAATTACTATTCCTTGCAAATCCGTTGAAGCTAGATGACTTGCATGCATACTAATTCATTCATGCCCTGATGCTTAAGGATCTGTTGATGACAACTTTTCTCATTACTGGAACAAGTGTTGTTTCCTCAGCCTCTTTCTTTAATCATAAATGCTTTGAAAAAGCTTAACTAAATTATAAAGAAAAAAAAACAACAAAAAAAGGCAGATAAAAGAAAAGGGAGATCAGCATTCAACAGGTTGTCATTAGTAGACTGGCAGCTATTTGCTGATGTTTCTCAGTGAACCCTAATTAAAGATATTCGAAGTAGATTTAATCTTTTAGAGTTACTATTTAATTAATAATTTATTTAGAAGCTTACATAAAAAAAAGAAAAATCTAAAATCCACCCTACTTAGCTTTTTGTTTGTTTGTTTTGAGAAAATAGCTGCCTCATTTTTCATAAAACAATGTAGAAAAGAATGATGAGCAGAAGTGGATAGGAACCATCTATAGTCTTTGGCACTTACCAAGACATTCTTCGCTGTGTAATAACGGAGTGATACGAAGCAAGGGATCAAACAGAAAGACAATATATCTAAAAAGGCTTACTGAATTTTCCCTGGGCAGAATCTAAACATATTTACTGGTGTAAAAAGAGAGACAGAACCTCTTGAGCTATGTCAAGAAGGAACCACTTTGATCGTTAAATTGTCTGTTTCTGTCTTGAAGTCTCAAAAAAAAAAAAAAAAAAAAAAAAAAAAACCTGATTTGAAAGGACTGGACAGCACATCTCTGTTTTTGGAGGTGCAAACAGCTGTTTGTCCTAGTTAAAGACAGAAGAAATCTAAGTTTTTTCCTAGGTGACTGTACCCATTGACTTGGGGTCAAGAGCTTTTGGCACCCATAAAAGTTACATATTTAGCTCATAACTGCTCCACTGGAAATGTAAACCCATGTCTCATGGGCTGAACTTGTCCATGCATGCCTCTTCTTAAAACTGATTTCCACCCAGAAGTCAGTGCAAGTCAGTGCAGCTCCTTTTGGAAATCAGTTCATAGAGTTAAAATTATTTTTGCTGACCTCTAGTTTAAGCTCCCACTCTGTTTTCTCAAAGTTGTGTTCAGAGCAGCCATTGGCAAGATATGTCTTGAGCTCTCATATTCTCAGGTAGCTGCAGCTGAGGAACTGAAGAGCTAGACCCAATGAGAACAGGTGAAAAACCATACTCTGTCCTTCTTTTGAAAGCATAACTGAAACAAAAAATTGACAGTAGAGTTCCCAGGAAATTTTCCAGAAAATAACTCGGTGCTCTATTCTTCCTTCTTCTCCTCTGTGGAGAAGGCACTTGCCCTTAAAACATCCATGCAATTCACAAGAATCAAAGTTCCAGTTAACTCTCTCCAGTGTTTTGTTACAGGGTTTTTCATTTTATCCAAAGCTGATTGCAGGTCTTGTAAGACATCCCTGTAACTATCTCCATAATGGGCACCCCATGTGTACAGAAAGTCATACGCAGGTTTCCACATCATCTGCAAAGTGAGAAACAGAAAAGTTTAATTGCAGAAATTTAATTATTAAGGGGGGAAAAAAAAAAAGTTAAATCTTTGCAGTAGTAAACACAAAAAAGAAAAAAGAAAAACTTTGATCTTTAACCACACTGAAGTTATTTATCACATGTTCATATAATATTTCCAGCAACCTTATACGCATCATTTTTATTCAATTCTTGAAACCTTAGTGAATAAATCATTGAAAAAATAAAACCTTGTTTCATATGACTATCTCCACGTCAATATATACTTATTTATACGCCAGAAAGTACAACACAAAGCATCCAGGATGGAAGAAAAACACATCTGTCTAGTCGCTTTTGTGATGAAATCATTTAACAGCAGTTTCCCTATCTGAAGTTTGATTATGCTTTTGATGGTTAATATCTCACTTTGTCTCATTAATCAACATCATACCGTACCCTGAATGTATTACTGCCTGTAACTTTTAAATATGCTTATCTTTACAAGAGTGCTTTCTGGTAACAGCAGTAAGATGACTGGATCTGTCTATAAAAGCTCTGTTTAAAATCATAATAATCACAAAAGCAGTAGAGTCAAAAGCATTTATAATTAACTTTTTAAAATTGGATGTTATTCAAAGTGTCCTATAAGAAAAAAAAAAAAAAAAAACAACGAAAAGAAGTTCCCAGTGCTTCTCACTTCAAATTGCAATATGTTTATGCAGTATGTATTTGTTTCTGACAAACAAATACACAGCAGTTCTGTAGAAGGTGTAATTTGTTATAGGTCTTGTAACATTAATTAGGCTGCAACAGAAAGATTCGGATACCAAGTTGTCCTCAAGTCTTTCAAAGTGCTGATGTCCAGAGTAAGATTGTTCAGTTTACAGAGAAACAACAAAAAAAGATTGTTTTCCCAGCTGCTGCTTCTGCAAATTTAACTTGGGTTATCTGCTTTCTAGCTTGTTACTCCAAATCAGCAATAAAGCTTCTGTAGGCTGCATTTTAATTGGCAATTGCATAAAGCCACAAAGGAGCCCATGACTTTCCCAAGACATCAGCTTTTGCTGTGTTAACAGAAATACAATTCTGCAGTTATATAAGCACATGGAGTGGTGTGTGCACACATATATACGCACAGAAGGTAATGAGAAGTTCCTTGATTCTAAATGCTTTTTCATTTTCTTTAAACATCACTTTCTCTTTTTAATGGAAAAGCTAGTTTCAAGATTCTGAAGGATAATTTAGGAGAATATTGGTTATTTACTTGATACAATCCTATCAACTTAAAATAATACATGATATAAGACTCTCGCCTTGATCACTTGAAAATGAAGTAGCAGGGAAATGTTCTTATGATCATAGTTGAGCTTCTCTCCAGATTTGGGCTAAGAAGTCTTAACTTATCCCAGGATTGACTCTGTCATAGTTTGTGTAACCATCTCCCTCAACTTCTTTGGCCTTCCATGCCCAGACCATCAAAAACAAACAAAAATTTACACACTCATCTCCCCAGATATGTTTTTTGTACAATGTTAGCTTGATGTCTGCCTTTGTGCCCTAAAAAGGGCGTATGTACTATGACAATGAAATCTGTCATTTTAGCTCACTTAAGGGAAAGAAGAGTATCTTCATTTTCCCAGAATAAAAATGGTGCAACTGCATCTCCTGGCTTTAACCAAGTCTGTCTTGCAATAAAAAGAAAGAAAATTAACTTGGTGGGAAGAGGATGAATGAGGGTTTTTTTTTTCCCCAATCTGATAAAAGAAAAAAAATAAAATCAAGATTTTGTAATGTATCCTAGTTATTCCAACATATTTAAATTTTTAATAAAATAGTTAATTGTTAGCCACTGAAGCATTTATGGTAGGACTAAAAAGCTGCTATATTCCTAATTCTACCCTAATAACCAAAGTAGTCCACAAGAGAATCTGGGTTTTCCTGATGTTCTTACACTGGCTGTGCTTTTTCTCTGTCTTCTGCTTCCTTTCTTCCTTTTAATGTTCAGCCAGGCTACCTGAAGGGTTTGGCATTGCAGCAGTCCACCTGGTGACCTTTCAGTCACCAGTGTTATAAGATGCTGTGCTTCTATTTATGCTAAAGATCAGTTTGACACTGCACAGAGATGGGGTAGACATAGGTCTAAGATACAAACCTATCTTCTCCCTCCTCTGGAACAACTTTTCCTTTCACTTTTTAGACCCCCAAAAGCCATGTTTCAGCTTTTTTTCAGCTTTGCTCAAGCTTTTCATTTCTGTAACATAGATGTCCACTACAAAATGGGAAATAGGCACCTCTTTAAGGAAATGGGCACCTATTTAAATGAAAAGTAAGAGTGTGTGAGGCAGAGTGGTTCTCTTTCAGTATAAATGGGTAAGGTGCCATTAAAAGAAAAAAAATACCATGGAGATGGAGTCACATATTGTTCAGGTATAATCAGGTCTATAACTTCAGAAACCTAAGATTTTGTCAGACAAATGCAAAAAAAAAAATCTTATATGCTAAAGAAAGTCTGGGAAATGTGGCACTAAGCAAGAGGCTAAAAAAGGGAAAACAATGGAAGTGATAAGCATTCGTATTCTTTTGGATTTTAGTATTTTAGAACAAGACAGTGCAAAAAGAGAGCTAATAGCATGGTGATTTTTCTCTAAAAATAAAGTAATAGGCTATGGACTCTTGGAGCTGAGAGTTTTATAAGAAAACGTTTTAAGAAAGATGCATCTAGGCACAAGGAGTGCATTCAGAACAACTCTAAAATAGTTCAAGAAACAGCCCAAAGACAACAGCAAGATGAAAGGAGCAGCAAATGTTTGCAAACAGCAATGACAGATATAATATACAGAACCTTAAGAGTTTTACTCAAATTTTAATCTATAATTGGAGGAACCATCCAGAGTGTCTAAGAGGTGGTGGCTCACAATCAGAAAAGGAAATTTTTCATAGCTATCATAAGGCTGGTAAAACTGAGGTGAAAGCCTGAGGGGCACTAGAAAGAAAGCTAAGCCCAGCAGGAAACAGAAGACTCAGGCATAAGGAAAGAAGAAGGAATAAGAAATTGTCATGTTTTGAAGTTATGAATGGGAAAATTAAGTGGTTTCTTTAGTAATGAGGTGCAAGAGAGGACAACATCAGGTTAGATTGTGTGCATTATCAGCAATAATGACAGAGTAGATACTGCAGGCAGAGGGTGAGCCTAGGCTGAAGGTATGAGCCTTAGGCGAAAGGTCAGCGTGAGTAGTGAGCAAAGCTGATAAGAGAGGATGTTCAGGGGAAACGTCATCTGAGACCAGACTGAGAGAAGGTCTTGCACATAACTCTGTGGGAGACAGTGCATCTACTGCATGCTTTGGTGTCAACAAATTAAGGGTGGAGAAACTCATGAAGCAACCCAGCTGTCTGGTCAGAGGTGTGCCAGGAGGATAGTCCACCCTTCAGCTCTCAGGTGTGGGCAGGTGCAGGCCCACCCAGGGCTTGGGTCACATACACTGCATTACTCAGATGCCAGGGATACCTCTATGAATATAAAATAGTACTAGAGATATAATTAGGTACCTAAACTGCTCCTTAGTTGTGTATGCGCTAAAACATATCTGAGAAGACAATTGCTTAGCTTTCATTTAGAAATTGTACTTCTGTATAACCGAAGTGTTTTACAACAACTGGTAAATAGCATTAACTATATGGCAAAAAATGAAATTAAAACATATAACAGGACAGGGTGAAAATGGTGTCTAAAGCTCCAACCTCTTGATTCTCTTAATCAACCTGACACAAACCTGACACAGAGATAATATAGAAAAGCTGGAGATAGCTTTTGCCATAGAAAAAGCATGGGTATTTTTCCCAGAGGCGAAAACAAAAGGTAAGGGGTAACAAAAGGTAAGGGTAACAAAACACTACGGGTAATTGCAGACTGAGTGGTCCTTCCTCATTGTCTTTGAAAGGACATCAGGTAGGAAAAAGATGGTGACAAAGGGAGCAAGAGTTAATTTAAACAGAGGAAGCACCCACCAAGAATGGAGCAGGAAAAATTAACATTGAGGAGAGGCAGGACAAAGAGAGACTTAAAATGGCCTTTGGACAGCACTAAAGTGTTGAAGTTTGGGAGGGACAGAGACTATGACCTCCACTGTAAATTATTTTGGTATGAAAACACTGAACATCTGGCCTCAAAGAAGTGCCTTAGATGGCTGCAAACAAAACATGATGAGAATGCCTTGCATTGAAGACCTGTCAAATTAAGCAGGTACAGAAGGAAATATGAGCACACAAAAAGGAAGAAAGATCCTGGTTTTGTTCATGCAGAGGATCAAGCATGCACACACCATTACACCAGTAACTTACTTCCAGAGTGACCTCTCCATTTTTCCCTTGATGAGGTACTTCATAAGCCTCAATTTGCTGCTTTGTGAGTCTGGCTAGCTTCTCCGCAAGTTCCCGCCAACATTTGCCAAGCTTGACAGCTGAAGTCAAAATGACAGTGTCCTGGGTAAGACGTGCCACTAATCCCTGGCAATCTATCTTCAGAAGTGCCTACAACAATCATATTTGTTAAGGTTCCTTCTCTGGTAATTACCATCAAATCAGTATAATTTGTTTTTATAGCACTAATCTGCATTTATAAGTGGACAGAAAGCCTTTTTGTCCTTTTTGCATTCTTGAAAATATGTAAGTTTATATACTTTTCCCCTCAGAAGGGAGTTGCCAGTAGTTGCATAGGAAAAATACCCACAAGCTTAAGAAAAAAAGAAAGAAGCTGGCATTGAGCTCCTTCGGCACTCCAGTGCTGGAAATCTCAAGGATCCTGAAGGAAAATTACTCTTCTCCAACAAAAATATTTGGGGTGTAAACTTTAGCTTCTTAAAATATGACATGAAACTTAGAAATGAAATTACAACACAATTATACCAAGGTGCAGTCTGTAGTCTACCTTTTTTTTTTTTTTCTTCTAGAAAGTCATTATTGATGTTGGCCAGCACCTTTTGATTTACTCCTCCTGCAGAACTGATGAAATGCTGACCAGCTTGCAGAAATGCAAGTAAAAACCCCACCACATGTGCTTCTAAGAACACATTAAAGCGGTTCCAGAAGTAAAGTGGTTTCCTGAAATGAAATGCAAATATGTTGCATTCACCTCTCTTAATTGTTTGGACTAAAGTTAATAAGAAAATAAGGGGATTTTTTTTTCTCCAATTAACAAGGGGAAGGGAAAAAAAAAAAAAAAAGTTCCACTGCAAATATTGACTTTTCAGTGAAAAATCAAGAGCCAAAACCAAACAATTTCCTTGTTTTTCAGAAACTTATTTTTAACAAATATTTCTGCAGAAATCAGACACTTGTGTGATTTAATTGAAAAGATATTTTTTTCCATAAAAATCCTCATTATGAACAGCAGAACTGTTGATAGGCAAGACTTTTGTCTTGTGTAACTAACCAGAATACACTCAATATAGAACCCAAACCAGTAGTGCCTATCTAGAATAAAATACTTAAATTGTCATTCTATTGAGAAACAGAATATATAGCTTACAATATCAAAATCCATACATTTTGGCAAAGCAGAGAGGAAGAAACTGTTTAGTGTACTTTTGCTCTGAGAATCAAGAACATATGAAATAAAAAGAGGAAAAAAAACCCAGTAAACTATCCACAAGTCAACTAAAAACAAGCCAACTTTTTGGTCCCATTATGCCCCACCTTTGGCCTGTTCTGTAATAAGTTCTTAACATTATATTAAATAAAATCTTTAAGTCCTCGCCCCCTTCCTTTCCACCTATTTCTGTACAGAAACACAATGGCAGACCAAACTGCCTTCAATTTCTTCATTCTACTTAATTCTTTTTCAGTTTTATTTCACTCAGTTTAGCACCTTTCTTAAGAACATTGTAAGTGGTCACTACTGCTAATGTTTTTTTCTGAGCTCCTTTTGCTAAAATTGCTCTCAGGATTTCAAACAGCATAGACTGCTTACAATAAGCAAACTCGACCAGTGTCTGCAATGCAGGGATAGCCAAAAGGCTATAAAAATGCTACAATGTGAGTTTTCCAAACATCATTTTCATAATACATTCACTATACTTTTGTATGAGCAACTTCATTCTCATTTGTCTCTAAATAAGGTAATATCAGAGTCAATGATAGTACTGAATAATCCTGAATTCCAAAGTAATTTGCACTCGGATTTATGTGTAAATTTGTAGAAAAACATTGTAAAATATGATGGTTTAACAATGCAACCTATCATCTAATCGAGTTTAGAATAAACACTTCTTGATTCCCATTTCATAGTATGGAGTCATTTAGAAGGATTTGGGAGAAGACTGATTTCCAAATTATCCCTATGAAACTGTTCCAAAATTCCCACAATATATATATATATTTTTTTTTTAAGTAGTAAATACATTGATGATGAAGTTGCCACATATGGACAGAAAGTGTTGTCTTCATTAAACAGCTCAGATTCTCAGATTTTCCTTCCATTTAATATAGAAAACAATCTTAAATGCACAATTTATAGTAGAGAACATAGACAAATAATGGAGCTCCACATTACGAGGTTAACTAGTTCAGATTAGGATTGTGAATTGCTTGGGCAAGCTATAATCATTGTGAATGTTTCAATGCCACATATATATATATGTATATATATGTGTGTATACATACACACAAGTATATATAAAAACGTTTCAATAGCATATATTTTTATAATGTTGCATACATATAAATTATATAAAAATAAAGAAAAAATCTACTAAATGAGCCAGATTCCCAGAATTTAGGAATGCTTAGAATTAATTAATATAAATATTTTTACAAAAAGATGCTGGATGCATTTTTCATCTATATGAATCTACAACTTAGTGTAATGCATTCACATTTATCAACTCCTACAAAGATGAAGGACCATATTTTGTTGCTCAGACATTACTACTGAGTAGTTTAAGATTCTTGGCAACACATTCCCAATAACCAAGTTAGTTTGTTAATACTTACAACAATGAGTTCATAAAGAAATAATCTTTTCTTTTTGTTAGCGTGGCAGTCTTCCTTCAGCCTCTTCACAACGTGCGCAACTCTTTCTGATTCCTTATCAACATATTTCTCATTAAAGTCATCCCATGACATATGTGAATATCCTAGCACTTCAGCCAAAGCTCTCCAATCATAAACACTCTCAGATACTGTAGATAAGACTACTGAGTAGATGTAAGTCAGTTTTTTAAATGGCAGCGCAATTTGTTCAACAAGATTCCTGGTTAGTAGCTCACTATCAGCAGTATCCATAGCTTGTTCTTTGGAAATCACTTTTACATTTTTACGATGTACAAGACCAACCTTTTTCCTGAGAACTCCCACATACCATTCTTTTACTTTAGTCTGCCCAATAGCTTTTACTTTATCTTCACCAAGAAGGGCTATTGTATCCCCTTTAAAATATTCTAGCAAATAGTCTATCTTACTTTGACGTAACACAGTCTTCAAAGCCACTCCATAGGTGCTAATGTTTAAAAATTTATCTTGAAACTTTGGATATTTAACTGTTGGTATTAATAGCAATGGTGCAGACTTGATTTCTTTGCGTTTTTGTAAGCACTTTGGCCTACTGACAATTCCACTTAATTTTGGAGCTGGATCAGGAGTTGTAACACAGAACTGCATCACTTGACCACTTTTTGAGTCTTTAATCTGAACAAGGAAAAGAAAGAAATGCATCTCCCTGGATCCTAGCATGGAAAACAGGAATTGTTGGCGGACCATTTCACCAGTTTTCAGTTGTTCTTCTTTAATACTTTTGCTTTGATTTTCCACCTTCACTTCAAAATCTGGATCACAGGATATCAAAGAAATGTTTAAATCTTGTGGCTTTTCAAGCAGAAGTGTGTGCTTTCCCCACAATTGAAACACAACAGGGGGCATATTTTTCCCTCCCTTTTTAATATCACAAATTGTAAGTTTTCTTGGAATGTAGTTATGACCAAAGGCTGTAAAAACTGCTGTAAAAGATGGATGAATATACTTGGGACCATAAATTCCAACTGAGACAGTTCTATGAACATAGTCCCAGACAGTAGTGGCTGGAGGTTGAATTTTATTCGCTTGTACAGCAATCACTATATACATCAAATGACTTAGGTCTGTTAGCTTCACTTGTACGGTATCTTCATAAAAGTAGCAGTTCTGTAACTTTTTAAAAGGCCCATCTTTACTGAAACTGTAAAAGCAGACAATATCAGTCATAACTTGGCTGAGAGGATCGTTCTTCACTTTAGCTGCAACTTTGGCTTCTAGGAAAATGGCTTCCCTTGTGCTGAGGTTGCTTAATGTAATTTCTATTAGAGGACTTACAGTGATAGACAGTTCATTGTTAAGTGATGATGGAGGGTTAAGAATGGCCTTTAAACCAACTTCTTGGAATTCTCCAGGTAATACATGGCCCATTGGAATGTGAACATTGATATCAGAGTCAGGAAGCTGTACAGATCCCCCTTCATGATTCAATTTACCGACTGTACAAACATCTGTAGCTTGTGTTTGTGCCCATCCAGGACTTTGACTCCTTGCTTCTAAATCTAGGCAAGAGCGGGTTAGCTGTCGGTGACTCAACCAAGCCATCTTGTATGCTTCACGGTCATTTTGAAGCCACAGTGTATCTGATGCTATAGGTTTTTGAGGGGCTGTCTTGTGAGGATTAAATTTTCGGTTATCAATAATATCCAGGAAGTCAGAGATACTCTTAGATCGTCCAGATCTTCTTGCTGAAGTCTTTCTCAGAAGACAATCAATATCTAGCTCATCACCTGACGAAGCCAGAGACTCCCTGTTGCTAGAAGCTCTGGAGAACAAATAAGGGTTTTCTTTTAGGACAGAAAGATATTTGCTATTTTCATTCCTATTTGAAGCAGCTATGTCATATATGAAAGGATTGGATGCTGACAGTTCATTCCAGAAAGGATTGGTCTTTGAAACAGCATGGACATGTTCCAATATATCAGAACCATCAATATTCAAATCCAATTTACTTTTACAGTCATCTATGAGAGAGAAAACAAAAGTATTTCTTAAAGCACTTTTTTTAATAGCTGAGGACAATGAGACATTACATTATATTCGCTTAGACGTGAAAATCTGTTAAACTGAGTAACTGGTGACTAAATTTAATCTACTAAAATGCATATAGCTCAAGTTGTTACAAGCATTTTAAAAACTTGAAGAAATTTAAGAGCATCAATAATCAAATTCTAAGTAGCATTTAAGAATTTACAGTTTACAGAGTTTTAACAAATTAGTCTTGAAAAGTACAAAATATATTCTACAAGGTGTAATGGTTAACTCCTATAACTGTTAATGAGCTTTGAGTATGCTAAGGTCCCATATGGCTTAAACCTTTACATTACGGTAATCTCTGGCCTCTTATGAAAGGCCAGGGATATTTTTGATTTGTGACTACATCTGTGCAAAAATCAGTTTTTCTTTTCCAAGCACTCTAGACTGTGTAGCCACTCCAGGTAAATGTATTATTCAGGATTCCTTTTCATGCTAGTGCACATGCATTGTGTGATGATAGCACTCTTACAATTTATCTCAATATGAGTGGAATGTGTTATACCAACTTCCAGTTTAAAAGTCTGGTTGGTGTAGCTTATAAATTCTTATGCTGCATGAAATTCAGAAAGAAATGTTCAAGTGTTCTAGTTTTCCAGTTTTCCTGGGATTGTCTCATTTTAAAAAGGCAAATAGGAATTCAAAATACTGACTATTAACAGTAATGCCAGTAATACCTATTTGCAGTAATGCCCATTTGCATTATACAAGTTGGTATTTGGAAAACTTCGTTCATATTTTATATTGCTAACTGTTTGCAAATCCTGTTTTACAGATTGATCTTAAGACTCAATACCTGCATTGAATGGCATGACTGCAGCTTTTTATCTAACGGGTTTCTACCATTTCAGTTTCATGTTGTTTTCATACAGTTTTATACTATCCTTTCATTGTACATCCTTGTAAAGCATTTTAATTTTAGAAGAGAAATTCAGCATTCATTTTTCAGCATACCTGTGCCTTCATTACTATCTTTCTATCGCCAAGGTCACTAAATATCACTCAGTCACAAGAATGACTGTGTATTCAGCCAAAAATATTGAAACCATTTGGTTAATTTTTAATTTCCTGTTTGTCACGAATTGCAACCAAGAGCCAAAACCGTGAATTTTTTCCACAGTTCCAGAAAAATTCCAATTTGGAAGAACCCAAGTGGAATTTATCAGTTTCCCAGCCACCCATCTGGAAGGCTCTGGAGTCGTCTCAACAACAACCTTCCAGGTCAGCTGCCAGAGAGGATCAGAGCCCAGGCATCCAGCCCTCTGCCTTTCTGGCAGCTGGGCTTGGCCAGATGCCTGGCAGACAGGGCTGGGCTGCTCAAGCTCCAACTGAAAACGGCCATAGCTTCTGCCTGCAAGCCAAGAAGTCCTCTCTATGCTGTGGTGCTTTAAATTTCCCAGTGGAAAAGGAGATTTTTTTTTTAATTGAAGTTAAATTAATCCAAAAAGTGTTAGACTGTTTTTCTGAAGGGTATATTTCTTTACGAGAAAAATCTGAAGAAGTCTAGCAGGGCCCAAGTCATGAGACAGGACTCTCTCATGCCAGCTTCCAGCACATGTAATGGTAGGTTGCAGTAGGTTAGTAAAGAAGTAATTGCCACTTGAAGAGCAAGTTGCCAGGCCCACCATTACTCAAATCTGGTACTGTACAAAAATAGCAGAAGGTCTGAAGACATTCTGAAGAACATTTTCTTCGGAAAAATTTCTTAATTTGGGGGGTAGAATAGTAAGGAAGTTAATGCAACTTTAACCTTAGCTTTAATAGTTTGGCTAAGAACTTTTTCCCAAAGCCTTATAAACATACCCTAAAAGTAGCATTTCTTACATGAAAGATTAACTTTTCCTCCCTATATCCCTAACCCATATTTGCTCTGGCAGGGAACAAGGGTGTTGTTCTGTGTCACTCCTAGATGACCTTGCAACAGCTCCCTTGCACTCCAACACCATTCTAGATCTTGCCAGGGACTAGTGCAAAGCACAAGCAGTACTAGAGAACTGACGTCATATGTCAAAAACATACAGTTTACAGAATATCCATAGCTCTTGATGCTACTGAGAACTCTCCATAAGTACAGACTTTAGGTGTAATCCTGAGTAAATAAAACAGTAGAACAGGCATACTGTAGCTGGATGAAGGTGTTTGGTCATCCGTGTCAATCAAAGTCCCTTCTGATCTGCTCCGTGGAATCTCTCCAGCATGTAAGGAAGCTATTTCACTGCTGGAAATATTTTCCTCCTAGGAAACAGTCAAGGTACAGCATATTAGTATGTATGCAACTTGAAAAAGGGGAAATTAGAAGGATAATGGAGCTTTGTATCTGCAGTGCAACACAAGTGAAAAACCTTACATGTGAAGTTGTGGTTTATTAGTAATTTTATGGAATCTGCCCAAGAGCACCATAGTCCACAGTGAATCTTACTATCTAGTCTGGGGCAAAAACAGCAGGCACTACAGCCATAGTATAATACAGTACCCCAGATAAGTCCCACAGTTAAGTGTCTTGCATCTGGAACAGAAACAATAGCACAGTAACTCACATTCAGAATATTTTGAATGAAAACACAGGCTTAACTAAGTGTCTAATTCCTGTTTTAAGATAAGGAATAGGAACATTTAAGAGGAAGATCCAAGTCTGTTTCATCTTCTGACAGCTGAAAATAACATTTTGTGACAGATGTGCTCCTTCCCCAGCTCAAGCTGATTTCTTACACATAGCCCTATTCAGGTGTTAATTACCACATTATCTGATCCTGGTAGTTGCCTCCCTGATTTCTTTCCCCACCCGGACATTAACCATCAATAACAGTCCAGATAGCCTTATCTCCCCATCAGGGTACAGCCAACTGAGTACACCACCTAACAGTCATGTCTGAATTGAAAGAATGACTATCAGTCAATCATTTTATCCCATAAATACAGAGACAGCCCAAGAGCCCATTGAGCTCTCCTTGCCTGGCAGCGGGCTGCACGATCTCCCCCTGAGCAGGGACACCTCTCAAGGATACTCCTTGAGGTTAAGAGATCCTTCCCACTACAGATTTGAGGTAAGCAACTATAGCACACCTCTCTTTCTGAACTTGTAAACTTTACTTTGCAACTGTGCACAAATCCCTTAGGCATAAACCGTTGATCAGGTCTGGGACTAGGATTAGATCCAGCTGCACCCAGACTCCTCTCAGAAGGAGTTTGAAAAGCAAGGGGGTCCAATCTGAAAGTCGTGACCCAACGGGAGGGTGTCCTTGGTAGTTTTGTGTGCATTTTGAACCTCCATACAGTAACTAATAAGTGACCTTGCCATAGAATCTCGAGAAACCATTATCATTATCAATAAAACCTATTCTATTTCTTTCCCACAAGTGAAGTGCATTGTGTCACTCATAGAATCATAGAATGCTTAAGGTTGGAAGGGACCTCTAGAGGTCATCTAGTCCAACCCCCCTGCACACGCAGGGTCACTTAGAGCACGTGGCACAGGACTGCATCCAAGTGGGTTTTGAAGATCTCCAGAGGAGAAGACTCCACAACTTCTCTGGGCAGCCTGTTCCAGTGCTCTGTCACCCTCACTGTTAAGAATTTTTTCCTTAAGTTCCTGTGGAACTTTTGATGCTTCAGTTTCTGGCCGTTTCCCCTAGTTCTGTCAGGGGCCACCACTGAAAAGAGGCCAGCACTATCCTCCTCACTTGAGGTGCTTATATACACTGATCAGGTCTCCTCTCAGCCTTCTCTTCTCCAGGCTGAACAGGCCCAGCTCCCTCAGCCTCTCCTCATAGGGCAGATGTTCCAGGCCCCTGATCATCCTTGTGGCCTGGAGACGCTCTTGCTAATGCACCCCACTCACCCCCCACCACCACTCGTTCCATGACACATTTTTTAACCCTTTCTGCTATATTATTCTTTATATGCTCTTCCTTGTGTGAGCATCAGGTCAGATCATCTTTTTGGTGACTACCCTTCTACAAGACCCATACCAGCACAGGAATAACCCAAGAAATGGCATTTGGTTGTCTCAACTCCCTTATTCCAGCTATAATAAAACCACTTTGTTCTTTGAAGCATTCTGCACATGGACTGGACTGTCCATGGACTGTAAGCCAGGTGCTGTGGTTTAGAGAAACATAGCTGGAAGCAAACCCATTGCAATGGCAAAACAAGAGTGTCAAGATACCCCTGCCTACTTCTGCTTTGAGCTGTTCGGGAAGAGCTGGAGAACCACACAGCTTGGAAGCAGCACTGGATGCCTTAAGTGCCAAAGCTATTGTGTCCCAGAAGCTCCAGAAGCTGGAGCAAGGACAATATTTTAGACTTCTCTGCACAAAGAGGTTCATTACATCAGTGCAATAAACCAAGACATGATTTACTAACTCTCCCTAAATCTTCAGACTAGTCCTGTATTTAGTGAGGAGTGAACAATGAGGGGCAAGAAATGGATATGATACTAGACAGAGTTTGGTGGAAAAGAGAGAGAGAGAGGAGGAGAGAAAAAAAAAAAAAAAAAAAGAGAGAGGGGAGGGATCTTGAGCCCATCCATAGGTTATAATAGTTAGCTTTGTTCTTGGGACTAATGTGTTGCTGCCTGTCATTTCTGCAACACCAGTTACAACCTAAGCAGATCTCTCCATCATGATTAAAAAAAAAAAAAAAAAAAAAAAGAAAAAAAGAAGATGAAGTGGGCCTGATTTTGCTGTATCCATAAGAAAAAAGAATTTTTATTTACAATTTTAAGAATATGTTTTTTTAAAAAATAGGAAGACATACCTCATATCAAAGCATTACTGAATAAGAAACAGCTGGCTGTCTCAGTTTCCATTGCACATATTGCAATGTTTTATATACATAGATTCCCACTCCTCCCCCATTTCAAGTGTTAAATTAATGCTTTATATTTGTACCACTACATGTTGTTACCTTCAGCTAATGGCAATTTGCTTTTACACTGATCTGCACACAGGCAAGGAAGCAAAACTTATGCTAGGCCTGACAACTACTCAGCACCTCTACAGTCACAGTGCAGCAAGGACTGTCAGATTCTTCTACTATAAATGAAATTTAAAATCTACTAGATCTATTCAGAACATGACTATTGATGAATCCATCAACAGGTGTAATATCTTTGACTTCAGTGGAACTAATGCTTATCTAAGTGAAAGAAGTAGATTTTTGTCTCAAATGTGTGCTGAAGTTTAGACCCGTTCATCTTGTGTTTGGACTTATTTCTGAGTATCATCTGGGTAGAGCATTTATGTATTTTGAAGTGTCATCTGAAGTGAGCTATGCAGACTGTCTGCATTTATAGACTTAAGACAAAGAAAGAGAGTGCTTGAGCTCCATTTAAAGAAAACAAACAAACAACAAAAAAAAATCATGTAGTTTTTGCAACCATCTCAGGGCTACAATCAAGGGATTTTGATACTAGAGTCCACAACTCTCAAAACAGAATCACGGAATGCTTAGGGATGGAAAGGACTCCTAGAGTTCATCTGGTCCAATCCCCCCTGCTCCAGCAGGGTCACCTAGAGCACGTGGCACAGGGTGGCATCCAGGCAGGTTTGGAAGATCTCCAGAGAAAGAGACTCCACAACCTCTCTGGGCAGCCTGTTCCAGGGCTCCGTCACCCTCACAGAAAAGATCGTCCTCTGCTAAGCATTTATTTCAACTGTGGACAGCAAAATACATGCAAGTCGCATGCTTATTTTTTTCTCTCTTTTTTTCTTTTCTTCCTCCACTTGAAAGCCAACATGATTTTAGTGTCTTCTCTAAGAAGCACTTAAAACCAAAATCTGAGATTTCTGATAGAAGAGTCCTGATTCCACACGATAAGTGAAAGTTAGTCTCCAGGTGTCCTTGGGTTCTGTTATTAATGTCTTGCCAGAACCAAACTGGATTGCAAAATGCTTCTTTAATCAAAACTGTAATTTCAAGATCTGACGTTCCACACCCACATAAAAGTAAAACACTACTTTCTAATTATAAAACAGTGTCTTTGATAATGTGTATGTATTCCTTTCAGACAATTAAGTCTTACTGTGTTGCTGTATCTCAAAGCACAGCAAAACCAGAATAAATCATACAAAGGTGTAAAATCCTTAGCTCAGGCTTCCATTTCACTTTACGCTTTAACTAGTGTGAGATTATTTATAGTCTGTTCTCAATAAGCACATTAAAAGATTTGCATGGAACACTCAGACAATGCAAGTTCAATGCAAGTTTTAAAATATTATCACACTCATTGCCGACACTGAGGTTGGGCTGATGGTTTATTGATCAAGTGATATATTAATATAAGAATGATTCTTTTATATAGAAAAATATAGGACAAAAAACCCACTAAAGTATTTCAAAAGCTATATGAAATCAGGTGCAATAAGCTAGGATGTGGAAACAGTTTGGGTAGATGCACACAGGATGAAACCAGAAGGAAATGGGGTAAGAAAGGAAAAAGTCTTTGTACACAGTGGGAGTATATTGACAGAAGCACAACAGCTTTGCATACGGAAGTTTTATAAATGCCAAGAATCTATGCAAATCGAATAAGCCATTTCCCTAAAAATTCCCTCTGGGAGCCCTCTAAAACCTTCACCACTATTCTGGCACAAAGACAGAAGAGGCAGTAGTAGAGAACTCTTTCAAAAATAAAGCCCCTTTCTCTCAAGAAGGTATTCCTTGAAATAAGTGCATGCTGAGGGACTCTCAGTGATTCAAGTATGTCTACAGACCGGTCATGAGGAGAAGAGAGATATAAATATTCCTGTACAGAAGATGACCGCTTTTGGTCTGAAGGAAAAGAAAATACTGGAAAGGAGCCGTCTGTATGCCACCATGTGCCAGGCTGTGCTCATCCTGAAGGAAGCTGCCTGATATGAGACAAGAGTCAGGTCACCTCCTTCTCTCCAGCCTTGGTGCTAGAAACACATCCCCAGAGCCTTTGTATGAGATTGGTAAATTAAGAAAGCCTAGAGGTTCCTCCTTCCCCAGGGGGAAAAGCTGCAGTAGATTAACATTCCAGCCAAGACTTTTGAAGGGACAATCCTGTTGAGTTGAAATTTGCCTGAACAAATCTGGGAGTATGATCTTCCCAAAGAGAGGGGAAGTTGAGCGCATATGGCTTACAAAGCCATACTGAGTAGAAGCAAAGAGGAAGGTCTGAAACTTTTTGCAGCAAAAAGAGGAAGTCATGCATAGGAGAAAACAGGAGCTAAACTTTTCATTTGTTGTAGTTATCAAGTAACATGTAAGCTGACAAATGTTTAATGGTGCAAAGAATAATTTGACCAGGAGTATGCCAGCTCACAGTGAGAGCTGAGCAGAAAATGAAGAGGTTGGACAGAGATCAGCACGGAGTGACCAGTGAGTGAACCTGAGTGACTGCTGAGAAATGTGGCATCTTTCCTGTACAAGGGCAAGGAGTATTTTACTACACACTATCTGCCTGGAGTCTATTGTTCAACCCATAAGCATAGTGGGGAAGGAGGAAGAGAATCAGAACTCAGAATAGTTCTGGCAGGCATGTTGCAACAGGGTTTGCTCAGAGGAGAAAAATGTATTAAGGTAGGGGAAGAGCTCAGGTAGAAAGTTCAAAGCTTCAGAAAAAGACTGATTTGCTGCGAATAGCTATTTTGCTGCACACGATGCCTCTAGAAGTCTTTCCAAGTCCTTTTAAAACTGAAGTGCACTTCCCACCGCCGCCCCACAGAGTTTCTACCAAAGAAAACATGTCCTGCTGTGCTTAAAATAGCGATGAGGAAGGAGGAGGGGGGAAAAAAAAGTGCCCAAAAGCACACACTTCCCCACTGCCTCTGCCCTCGAAAATGAGGGAGAAGACATTCCTTTGTGGTTTTTAAGTATCAACATCCTAGAACAAGACACTAGCATTTGCCTTTCATTCAACTTTAACCTTCCTTGGCCTTTCAAAAAGCAGATTTGTTAGCAGCACAGCTCTCCGGCAGCTCACGTATTGCTGTGTGTACCAAACACTGATCATGCTGCTCTCCTATCACATTATTCACAGCGATTCCCACCCTTTGTACCCAGAGAGCGAAACTCAGATATTTGCAGAGACAAGACACGCAACACAAGCAGATGATGATGTGTTTTGGGCCCTCAGGCTCACTTTTAGCTGTGGTGGAGAAAGATGACTTGCTAGTTATACAGGTTTGGTTAGTTATTAAACTTCATAAATTCCCCATTATGCCTGAAAATGTCAGTGGAGAGAAGTAGCACAAAAGCATTAGGTTCTATCCATCAGGATGCCAAATACAGTGTTCTTGGCCTGACCACGGTTTAAACTAGACATCAGTAGATTTAAAACTCTGTCTGTTC